TTATAATCTAAGCATGGCCAAGAGCATCTTTACCATGGCCATGTACAGGGCTCCATGTAATTATTAAATCTACATAAGCAATGATCACAAAAGAGATACTTTAATTGTGCTAAGATGGATCCAAGAAATCATAGCAGGTAAATTGTTCAAAGCAAAACAGGGAATTAAGCAGTTTTCCTGAACAGGAAAAAATATTTTTCCAATGGACAAGTTCAGGTGGGCTTTTGCTTATGATGCGTTTGAAGAGGCAGAAACAATGACATGTTCAGACAGAGCAGCAGCCCAGGTTGTCTCAAAACTCCACAAATGCACTTTTTAATAACTTTTTGATCAAGGTTTTATAAAATAAACTAATTAGTAAAAATCTATACAAGTGAACCCTCTAAGATATTTCACGATATGCAGGAAGTCTGCCTTAGTAACAGAGCCAGCAACTAATGTAGAAAAGGGATTTTGATATAGAACTCCACAGTGGGGAGTGTTGGAATATTTTAGGACATTCAGGCTCTGTGTGAATGAGGAAAAGCTATTTAAGAGAGGCAGTGTTTGCTTTATGATCTAAGATTAAAAATCAGTTTCTTTACTGGCCAAATCTTGTTTGAGTTTCGGTTTGCTTGTAGAAGGTGATGGCCTCAAAACACCGGTAACAGCCTCTGTACTCTTCAAGGTAGTTTTCATGTCAACAGATTTTTTTTTAAGGTCAAACATAGTAATGCTGAACCCAGGATTGGCAGCTAAGCGAAGCAGGGGGCAGACTTATGCATTTTTAAATGTACTTCCAAAGGTGAACCACAAAGCAAGAAGGAAAGCATGTCTATGTTACTGTATAAAGAAAATCTCAAAGTTATTTCTATTCCATTCCCTCCATTTGCACACAAATGTACTTTCTTTTCTGACCATTACATTAGGAATATCAGGCTTTGACTTCCTGTTGTGGGTGGATGGCCTTAGGGTATGTCTACACTACAGAGGTTTTTTTTTGGAAAAACAAATGTTTTTCCGAAAAAACTTCACTTATGTCCACACTGCAATCACGTTCTTTTGAGGGAAAAAAAAATCAAAAGAACTGAGGGGTTTTACCGATATTGGTAAACCTCTTTCCTGCAAGGAAGAAGCCTTATTCCAAAAGAGCTCTTTTGGAAAAAGGTGTGTGTGGATGGGGAAGAGGGAGTTCTTTCGCAAGAAGAAAAAGCACACGTGCCTTGGTCCATAGCTTACATGCAAGATAGCATTCACACAGAATGGATGCTATCTGTCAAAAAAGCAGATTGCTTTTTCAATGCACTCTCACAGTGTAGACACTGTCTTTCGGAAGAAGTTTTTTTAGAATATCTGTTCTGGAAAAGCTTCTTCCAAAAGAAGCCTGCAGTCTAGACATAGTGATTTTGTGGAGGGCTGAAATGGTAACACCACAACAGCTTGTAATCAGAGATGTTGAATTTTCCCAACTCATAAGGCAGGCCTGACTTAACACCCCTCGCCTCCTTTAGTTGCTGAAGGGGAAAGATGTAGCCTTTTGGGGATGTTATTGTTACTTCCAAAGTCTTTCAGCTAAAATAAGGATCTAATATAAATAACAACTTTATTTTTTTTCTGTTTATCTTTATACATTAGTGGTTTTCAACTTATGTGCAACCCTGGGGTCTACAGACTGTGTTATATTTCCAAAGGGGTTCACAAATGAAAAAAAGGTTGAAAATCATTGTTCTACAGCATAAAGGAGCAGTACAGGCCACACACATATCTATCAGTAAACATTTAATGATTTGGGATCTAGATTTTAGAAATTTGGGTTGATCACAATTTTATAATGTATAAAATTCAGTGGTTGATGACCAGCAACTAGTATACATGCACAGGTAATAAAACTAAGAGAAGACAGCATTGAGATGAATAACTATATCAAGAAACAAAGTTCTTTAGATCATGCTTTGTAATACTGCATCATTTATTTTTGCTTGCTGAGACTGCCTCTTATCTTTTCAGTTACTATGTAAATGGACGAAGTGCTACCAGAGAGGATTTCTTGAGTCCTGAAGTGCTGGAAACCTTTATCACAGCAGTAACAGATGTTCTTCAGGTACAATGTTATGTTAAATTGTCTCAGCACTCAGCTACCATGATGATGGGCATATAAGAACCAGAGTAGAAATTGTTGGCAAGCAATACATCTCAAGAATCTCAATTTTTAGAAGCCGTATTCATTGTAAATAATCTCCTATATGTTTGAGAAGAGTTTCTGTCTGTATGCCTATGCATGAGTCTTTGTTCAAGAACTCCTAAATGCTGAGAGGTAGGACCACCAAATGGTGTATTCAGATTCCTCTTATCATAACTTAAGGCAAGGTAGGGGTTTGGTTGTGCCAGGAAAATGGGATGTGCCTAGAATGGGATTTCTTCTTCTAAAGCCATACAGAAGAGACAGAATCACCAAGCAGATGAAAGGGGCTGGCTGGGGGTGCGCACATCCCCATCTGGGACTGCCCCGGCCCTGATCCTTCCACCCCCTCAGATGCCTTTCAGGGAGGGGCGGGGGTCCAGCTCCCCTCCCTTGATTCATATAGAGAGATTATTGCTTGTTCCCCTTCATCAAGGAGCCTGGGGAAAGTGCATAGTTTGCTGCATTCCTCACTCTGGCTGAGGAGCGCAGGGGTCAGATGAACTGGGACCTGCCCCAGCCGGGGGACATGCACCCTCCCATGGCCACTGAGAGGCACTTCTCACCTGGCTCCAAGCTACTGTGGTGAGAGGAATAATTCTCAATCCCCAGAGCAGCCTGCATCCTGAACCCCTCATCTGCAGCCTCACACAAGGCTTCTACACGCCCTCCCCTCCCCCACCAAGGTGCCTTTTAGAGAGGGTAGGAGTAAAGGGGGGACCTGAAGCTTTCCCTGTTAAGCTTTCAAGAAGCACATGGAATCTTTTTCAGGGGAAAAGGTAATATGCCATGTTTATTGAGAATACAGTAGAAAAGCAGTTAGCATATGCTTCATAAAGACACACACACCCTGCAGATGGTGCACAGTTACTGGTCTTTTGTGGCTCAAGTCAGTTTTACTGGCAAGGCTGACTGAGGGAGGAGTCAGGGTTCCTCTGAGGCTTGGCTTACAGAACTGAACCCAGAGTTTAAAGGCCAGAGCTCCTCTTCTTACACATGTAAGTTTCCACTGGAGTCTGTCGATATTGCAATGTCATGCTGCAATCATCCACCCTTAAGGGGTATTAATCTGTGTTTTCCAGGATTATCCTTTAATGGTGATTGTCAGGCTTTCCCTCATTGTCTCTCACTCTTGGGGGGGGGAGGGGAAGGGGATCTCTGCCTGTCTCCAAGGTTGTCAATGCTGCTAATTTAATTCAGCCTAAAGACACAATGGTTGTCTCTTGGTTATCTTCAAAGTTTCCACTTCTTGATCAGCTGGGCATCTGCGATGGCTGTCACACTTACACATCCTCAATTCGCACCACACAATTGTACAGAGTTTCAGACAAGATTAATAGTTACTAGAAGACACAACTTAATTTGTAATGCTAACAGGGAGCAAGGCCTTACAGTAAATAGTATCTAATCATGAGAGCCGAGAGAGAAATAGAGGCAAACAGAACTTACAAGCAAGTCATTATACATGAAATCATTATGCATCATACCTACAGCCGTATAACCAATACTCTCCAATACTAAAAGTACATTTTTGCTACACCCCCTCCCACCATTTCGTATGGGGACATTGCTGACCCGAGCAAGGCTGGCTAAATCTTCTAGTATAACATCAGTGATGCTCAATGGCCCGGCACCCTTGGGATGTGACCGGGCCTGGACAAGGGAATTTGCTGAACCAAGGGAGGTCTCCTGTCACCGGCCTCCCAGGCACCCGCTGGCTCTGCTTCTGGCCCCAGCCCCTTTCCCCGCACCACACCCTGAGGCAGTTTTGCTGCCAGCACAGGCTGGACCCTTCATTCCCAGGACTATTTGTTTGTGCCATCATAGCCCCAGGGAAGAATTTATGGCCAGATTCTGCCCCTTACTCTCTCTAAGTAGTACCTTATTCCCAGAGTCCTCCTGCTGACTTCAACAGGACTACTTACATCGGGGGTTAGGCCCAGAGGCTGGATGTGGCCCCCAAGGCTCAGTGCCCGCCTTGGGGTACTTGTGCTGGCAGTCCAGGTCCCCCCTCTTTTTTACTTCTCACTTGTGTGGCCCCTGACTGATTTTTCTGTGGGTCAGTGGCTCCTGACCCAAAAAGGTTCCCTACCCCTGACTTACATAGTAAGATACCACTCTGGGTGATTAAGGGCTACTGAGTCTAGTTCTGATTTTGTTTAGATTTGGGACTCTATTATTTAATAGAGTTTAACAGTCCATGAATCACCACTGTGGTGTCTCCTGCTGGTCACTGGTCACTCAGTCCAGCCTCAGAGCACCCTCTCCTGGCAGTGTCTTATCTGCTATTACCTTTTTGTCTGTTACCCATGATTCATGAGGCCCCATTGGGGGAGGGATAGCTCAGTGGGTTGAGCAGTGGCCTGTTGTGAGTTCAATCCTTGATGGGGGCCATTTAGGGATCTGGGATAAATCTGTCAGGGATGGTACTTGGTCCTGCCATGAGGGCAGGGGACTGGACTCAATGACCTCTCAAGGTCCCTTCCAGTTCTGAGATAGGTATATCTCCATATATTATATTATGTCCCTCCCAGACCATGGTGCCCTTCCCTCAGGGTATTGCCCCATGGAAGTGCTCCCACACTTGGGAGTCCTCCCCTCCTAGGGAACCCCAAACTCCTGCACCCACCTTGCTTCAGTGACCCACTTCCAGTCATCATCTATCCCCTCATCATTGACAAGGGGGTATGGACCTGCTACTTCCTCCTGCTCCTCTGCAGCCCTAGTACATCCCTATTGCTGAGCGTCAGCCTGGGGTTTATTCATGCCTGAGATGCCCTGGTTCATCCTGCTTTCCCTCAGCACTGCTCTAGCCAAGGTGTACCCCATGCTAGCAGCAGCTACATCCCTCTCCTTCCAGAGCTGGCGTAAGTGTGCTCCTCTTGGCCAGCCATTTTTTTATACAATCCTGATGGGCTCTGATTGGCTGCCACAAGCTCTCTCCTGATTGGCTCCTTGTCTCATCCCTCTCCCAGAACTGTTTAAACCCCTTTTGTTCCAGGGTGGGGCAACCACCTCCTCACAATAAAATTATTTCCCCTACTCCTGTCCATCAGAACTATTATGGAGCCTTGCCTCATTAAATAGGGTCGTATTAAGAGGCCCTGAAAGTCCTATGATTTTTCCAGGGATCTATTCTAAAGTCCACAATTGTGACTGTTTAGGCAGTCATAGCTGTACTTACTTTTCTCTTTTTATCCTGATGACACAACATTTTCTAGATTGTTGATGGAACTGTACCTGGTAAAAAGGTGTGGTTAGGAGAAACAAGTTCAGCCTATGGAGGTGGAGCTCCCAGACTGTCTAATACATACGTTGCTGGTTTTATGTAAGTAGAACAGCATGTCTTTAAAATTACCCTATTTTTTTTCCTGTGGGATTTTCCACCAACTTAGCCACCACCATTAAATGCCCAGCATGCCAGCAACATTCCTCTGTGTAGGACTGGCCATCTTTGGAACCCCATAGCACTTCTGCATGTACAGACCCAAGGTGGCCACTCTCATGCCAATTAGTCCCCAGGGACAAGGAACATTGATCCCAAAATATTCCCTAATCCTGTTGGAAACAAGTGAAAGGGATCTAGCCAAAGATATAGTATCTTATGTTACATGGTGGCTAGGAAAATGTTTGCTTGACTTTTAACACTGTATAGGAGGGGTAGTTAAAGTAAGTGTTGTTTATAGGCCACAGTACAACCATTGTAGCATTATATGGGATTGCTGCCTCATGTTCAAATTTGGAGATGTGGCCCAGCAAAACTACAGTTGTCAGCACACTAAAACCGATTAAACTGGAGAAAAAGTTCTGGTACTGTCCCTAGCTTCACCAATAGCTGGAGCTCCTTCCACTTGTGATGCCAAAACAAGATGCAACTGACAGAGCGCATCTTCACCACATGATTGTCTGACTTTTTTTCTTTTAGTTGACAGTGAAACAACTAACCATTTTTGTTGTTGCCACTAATTTCAATGTTAATCCTTTGTTAAAATGAATGGATGGCTCTCACACTTTTCTCAGAAGTTTAATTTCAGTCAGTCGGTAGATAAAACTGCATTGGTTTATGCCTGGTTCATGTTTTAGCAACCAAAAAATCTAGAGAATTATTTTTAAAAATGAAAGTAAAAGCTAGAGCTCAAAATGACCTCTTCATGAGAGACTCCATCTGAACCTTATTGCTTCAGCTCAGGGTTGTCTCTCTTTACTCAGGACAAAGATGGTGATGACAAGAGAGTTTAAGGAAACAGCATGGTAGAATCAGACACCTAGTGAGATGAAATGTGAAATGGATTTTCAGCAAAGTTTCTGCCATTTTTGTACTTTGGAACGTACAAAAATGAGGTTTTTTTGTACTCAACATTTATCATTTTATTTCTTGTTTCTGCTGCATGTACAAGGCAGTTGAGATTGCATGCAACGTTGTCTAGCTCTGCAATTTTTCCCATTTATTTTTGGGGAGTCTGCATTAATATTTTTCTTTTTTTCCTGTTCTGTGGCAGGTGGTTGGACAAATTAGGACTGTCAGCCAGACTGGGTATTGATGTGGTGATGAGACAAGTGTTCTATGGAGCAGGAACCTATCACCTGGTAGATGCAAATTTTGAACCTTTGCCTGTGCGTATACAATAGCATTGCCTTAATAATCAGCATACATACTGTATATATTTGTATTCCATTAAACCTAATATGGAGAGATATGCCCGGTATTTTTACCTCCCTAAAGAGACTTGTATATAGGTATCTGAAACATACCTTGGTATGATCCAGAATAATGAGCAGTTGTGTCAGAGCTACTATGTAGCCTCGGGTGCCTTCCAAAGCCTTTCTGTAGTAGCTCTCACCTGGGCTACTCACAAAGCCTTCCAGCATGTGTGTGTCAGTGTGTAACTGCAGACCGTCAGCCACACTTGGATTATACTCTAGTTCTCACCAGCTTTGGCTATACTGCAGGGTGATCCCTACACATATTCTCCCCCTCTTCCAAGATGTATGTTCTGTACAGCCCAGACCTCTCCTGGGCAGTAAAAATTATATTACGTTTTTTATTCCTTTAAGAAATAAATATGCACACAACATGCCACCCCAAATGGAATTACCCAGACATTTCAATTTAAACGCACTGGATAAATGAATAAAACAAGTTTAACTAGAGAAAGAGAGGTTTTAAGTGAGCACAAGCAAGGAGGCATAAAAGTCATAAATGGCCACAAGAAAAGTAAAGATAAGATAGATTGTTAAATTAGGTATTAGTAAACATGTCAGATTCAAGCAACATTTCTCATCTCTTCTGGAGCAGGGAAATGGAAAGAGGTGCTTTGGGATATTTGTCCCTCTTTTTTTATAGTTTCAGTCCTTTTCTTGAAAAATATTTCTAGATGGGCACTGGGAGATAAGAGTCTATGTGGAACATGTTCCCTGCTAGCTTTTTCTTACCTGTTTGAGTTCCTTTCTTGCTTGTTTATAAAATACGGTCTCCTAAAACCAGGCACTGCTTAAATGCAAAGCCAAACACACATTTCTATCAGAGGGGTAGCCGTGTTAGTCTGAATCTGCAAAAGCGACGAGGAGTCCTTGCCCATGAAAGCTTATGCTCCTACACTTCAGTTAGTCTATAAGGTGCCACAGGACTCCTCGTCGCTTTTACACATTTCTATGTTTGAAACAGACCTGTTAGTCAACCTCTATTTTGGAAGGGCTGAATGGTTTGGAACATGTGTTAATAACATCATAGAGGAAATTTTGATAACTTTACAGACAACATTGTCACACACATTTTATCAGTACCAACCAGCAAATTATAAGTTTTCATACAGGTGTTGTACAAAAAATATTGCAATCGTAGTTTCAGCATGCTGGTATTAAAAATGAGAGGCTGCAGCCTGCCCTCTAGCTCATGGCTAGTTGTAATTGGGGTCTTGTTAAAAGTAACATTTTGGACACCCCAGTACAGAACATCATAGTGTAAGTGTAATATCTCTTATCTAAAATACCTTGTTTGCCATATGGAAAAATCTTTTGTTGTATATGCCACACAGGATTATTGGCTTTCTTTGCTGTACAAAAAACTGGTGGGCACCAAAGTACTGAAAGTTGGCCTGAAGGGAGCAGATCCAAAGAAGCTTCGAGTGTACCTTCATTGCACAAATAACCTCAAGTAAGCATTTAAAGACAACATTCAGGAACAACTGACTAAAGTAAAAACAGAGGCCTCAGTGCACACTGAGCCTATTGAAACCAATGGAAGCATTCTGACAGGCTCAGTAGTGCTTAGACCAGGACCCACTTGAACTGCAATTATACAGTGTAACACACAGAATGGGCAGAGGACTTCAAAAAAACAACATTCAGGAGACTCTGATGTAGTTTTCACAAATAGGATTATTGGAATTGCCATAGGGAATTATATAGGACAGGATAGATGGGTCTTGTGGTTAACTCCCTGGGCTGTCTTAGGAAATCTGAATTTTATTTTCTGCTTCAGACATTGTATGTGACTTAGAAAAGTCACCAAGTCTCACTGTGCCTCAGTCCCCCATTTGTAAAATAAGGATATTTATTTTCTCTCCCCTTATCCCTTTGATCTATCTTGCCTGTTTAATCTGTAAACTCACTGGGTTATGTCTACACTACCACCCTAGTTCGAACTAGGGTGGTTAATGTAGGCAACCGAAGTTGCAAATGAAGCCCAGGATTTGAATTTCCCGGGCTTCATTTGCATATTGCCGGGCGCCGCCATTTTTAAATGTCCGCTAGTTTGGACTCCGTGCCCGTGGCTACACACGGCACGGACTAGGTAGTTCGGATTAGGCTTCCTATTCCGAACTACCGGTACACCTCGTTCCACAAAAATGGCGATTGGGGCTTTTTTGCGCAAAAGTGCATCTAGATTGGCATGGACGCTTTTCTGCAAAAAGTGCTTTTGCGGAAAAGCGTCCGTGCCAATCTAGACGCTCTTTTCCGCAAATGCTTTAAACTGAAAATGTTTCTGTTAAAAGCATTTGCGGAAAATCATGCCAGTCTAGACATAGCCACTGTGTATATAGTGCTTAGCACAATGGGGACCATATCTCAGCCAGTACTTTTACATGTGACTATACTACAAAAAATTGGGTCCCTGAACTTCAGTGTCCTTCCTCTGGTGTTGGAGCCTGCAACTAATTCTAAGGGAATGAAAACAGAATTATTTGCAGGTGCAACCTTTTACCTCTTGTCTCCTTGCATGTAGACATAGCTATAGATCCAACAGCCACTCCACAGCGTCTCCCTGCATTCTGGGACACTGAGCAGTTCCTACCTGGGGCACAGACACACACACACAAAGTTTTGGCATTCATACCCTCCCTGGGCAGAGGAACCAAATTGTTGTGGGGAAGAGGGAATGAGATCTGCCCAATTGTGAATACAGTACAACTCCTTTTAAATACTGTAATTTATTTTAATATGTAATCGTTAATGTGCTTTTCTCTTGCCTTGCAGCCCAATGTACAAAGAAGGGGATGTTACTCTGTTTGTTTTAAACCTCTATAATGCCACCAAACAGATGCAGTTACCCCATAACTTATCTAGTAAGCATATAGATGAATACCTTTTATTACCTCATGGAAAAGAGGGCATACTTTCCAGGTGAGAATACATTACCTTTTATTGTAAAATGTATCTTCACTATCATGTAGTTTAGCTATAAAAACAGGTCTCTAATTTCAATTTTTTAGGATAAAAACAGTTACTTTTCTGTTTGGGTTTTTTGTTTTTGTAAGTGCTGTCCTAAAACAAGGCACTGTTATAAATGTTAATGATATGGTAGCAAGAGAAACACATCCCTAAGCTTATCAGTGCTTTTCAAAGTACATTTTCCATCCAACTTGTGATTGTGAACAGTTAAACAAAAACTTTTACTTTTCAGTTTTCCTTAAAGTTATTCCACATAAATGTGTGTGTGTATGGGATGTACATAAATGCATATTGCTTGCAGGCAACGTATTAGATCCAGTAGACATTCTGCTATATCTTGTAAACTTGTAAGCCTTTAAGGAGGCGGGTACAGGAGGTTTAGTTACCTTAAGGCAACATAAATCTGCCTTAATTTCAACACTTTCGGTCATACCAAGTGAGCTTTGTGTTATGTGGTACGTTCAAAGCATAAATAACCCAACAACCTCTCTCCATGCAGGTCTGTTCAGTTGAATGGTCATGTCTTAAGGATGGTGGATAACCAAACACTGCCAGCACTTACTAAAAAACCCCTCCATCCTGGAAGTGCTCTTGGCCTTCCAGCTTTTTCATATGGATTTTATGTAATAAAAAATGCAAAAGCTATTGCTTGCATTTAAACATTGAACACATCCTCACAGGATGGCTGCAAGAGCATTGTGCCTGAAACTGAAGTTTGATTCCAACGGGTCAAGTTTTTGCAATAAGCATAATTTCTGGCAAGCTTCCTACAAATCTGCTGGGATGGCAGCAACAGCAAAACCTGGGGAAGGAGTGGGCATAAATGCATATTGAGTACTATGTATAAGAATCATATTGATGTAAACCTGTCAGAACATTTTCCCCAGGTTTTGGGGAAGTTGCTTCCTTCCTTTCTCTGACCCCCAGTGGTCCACTTAGCAGCAACTACTTCTCCATTCCGCACACTTCTATCAAAGGAGCTGAGTATGCTGTGCCTGCAGATCTACCAAAGAGTTTGTCTTCTAGATTATATACATTTTAAGCACAATTGTTATAGCAGACTTTTCATCTGAGAGCAGATATGGTTCATGAGGGCTTTTAAAAATATATTCCCCCACCCACACCAGTGTTTTTAGTTGTACTGTTCCTTTAATGTCCACAGAATGTGGGAGAGCAGAAGACAATCATGGGGAAGCTATCAATAGTTACTGAAGGTAATGAGCTTCTGACTTATTTGTGCACTAAAGGATGTCCAAAGGCCAGCTGTGCTTTTCAGCTGTTAGTTATGTTGGGGGTGAGGAACAGCGAAAGCAAGTAAATGGAAAATGAACAAAGGATTATCTAAATGAGAAGAGGGAAACAGTGAGGGAAAATGTTGAAATGTAGGGCTTATGTACACTTACAAGTGAAGCCTATGCCGACGAGAGCCCCTTCCCTGGGCATAAGTACTCCACCTCCCAGGGACATAGTGCTTTTTCCAGTAGGAGTGAGGTCAGTATAACTGCATTACTCCTGGATGTGGGTTATGATTCTGATAAAACTTTTCACTCTGCTTTACTGATTTTTTAGGATTACTATGATCTCCTTTTAAGATGGTTTCCTGACTCACAAATGTTATCAGTTTGAGAAGAAGTTACAGGTAAATAATGCTATGATGCAGCCCGTTCATTTATATTATTTATAAAATATGAGGAAGGGAAGGCACAGAGGGTGTGACTCCAAGCCCACTGAAGTCAGAAATAAAATTTCACTGGGCTTTGGATCACTCTCAGAATAATTAATTTAACCTTCCATGACTGTAAGAGACAGCTGATTTTTCCTAGTGAGAACTGAGAGCCCTTTCCAAGTATACAGGGCGTCCCTGTTATAAGACGTCTGGTATACATGCATTCTGTGCTAAAGTTGTTGATGCTTGTAGGAACTGATGCGTTATAAGTCCTTCCATTCCCTGCTCTTAAGTCGCACAGAAAAAACCCCACCAATTTGTGCAAATGGAAGTCAGTTGTGGGGGAAAAAAATTACCTGTTTTAAGTTATTTCACTATAAGGCCAAGTTTTTTGGAACGTATCTTAGACTTTTAGTGAGGACTGCCTGTATAAAGCTCAGGAGATCTGTGACGTTTCTTTCCGTCAGCAGAAGAAAATGTCAGCTGGAGCCTCCTTCTCTTGGTAAATTTTCAAAGCCTATTTTCCTTCTCCCTTAAACTTACTACATTATTCTACACAAACACCTTCTCAAGGCATCACTATACCTTTACTCAGGAACTACTTATTCTCTCAAATCTCAAAACACCAAGCAGAAATATAACAAAGCAAGCTACTGTCATTGATATCTGTACCTAATTTTTTAAAACCTACAAATCTGCTACAATGCAAACTCTCAATGCTTATTTTGGGATGTATCAGGGAAAAAATTCACATTACTGTGTTTTTTCTATTCAGGATTTGAAAGACACAGGGGCTGCGTCTAGACTGGCATGATTTTGCAGAAATACTTTTAACGGAAAAGTTTTTCCGTTAAAAGTATTTCTGCAAAAGCGCATCTAGATTGGCACAGATGCTTTTGCACAAAAGCATCCATGGCCAGTCTAGACGCGATTTTGCGCAAGAAAGCCCCGGTCGCCATTTTAGCCATCGGGGCTTTTTTGCTCAAAACAGTTCTTCCCTGTCTACATTGGACTTTTTGTACAAGAAGCACTGATTTTGTACATTACAAAGTCAGTGCTCTTGCGCAAATTCAAGCGGCCAGTGTAGACAGCTGGCACGTTTTTACGACTGCTTTTGCGCAAAATCTTGTCGGTCTAGACGCACCCAATCAGGTAAAACAAGGAAATTTAGATTTTATTTTTAAAACAACTACTTTAAAAACATACAGTCCACTGAAATATAGTTATAACATTTTGTTTAAAAACTGCAAGGCTACGTCTACACTGGCCCCTTTTCCGAAAGGGGCATGCTAATTTTAAACTTCAGAATAGGGAGAAATATAGTTATAACATTTTGTTTAAAAACTGCAAGGCTACGTCTACACTGGCCCCTTTTCCGAAAGGGGCATGCTAATCTTTATTTAAATCCCGTGGGGGGATATTTAAATCCCCCGCGGATTTCCCTATTCTGAAGTTTAAAATTAGCATGCCCCTTTCGGAAAAGGGGCCAGTGTAGACGTAGCCCAACAGAAACAGATAATTTATGTTCAGTTTAAAATATTTCACAGTGGTATTTGCAATCCAAAAATTTGTACTATTATGCTAATACATACATGCTCAGAAGTGAAATGGGCTATATACAAAAGAAAGACTGACAAATCTCTTTTCATTCTCCAAATTCAAATGGAAGAAGTAAACAGACAGCATAAATTATGAAAAATAAATCAGAACTTGTAAAGTTCTTAGTTACTACAATCTAAACAAAATTTTGAAAAACAAACATTTATTATTTTCTTTTAGCCTGACAGTATACTTTTCTGAACTGTTCTTAAAAACCAGCAACACAGCCAGTCCTGTTTGTATGTGAATTTTTAATAATTACTTATTTTAGTAACATTTATATTAGTTTGGTAATTGTGGCTTTCTTTAGGATATCAATTTAAAAACTGGAAACACAGCCCTCACTTTTTGTTTTAATTCTGTGATTTTTTTATATTTGCACATTTTAATAAAATAATTTATCATTTTAGTAATTGTGGTTTTCTTTAGAAGGTTCATTTTTAGCTTATTAACATCTGAGAAAAGTTCATCCTCAGTCAGATTTTTTTCTTTTAATCAAAGCTCCTCCAGCTGTCTCTTAAGATTTCCTATGAGTGTAAGAGAGAAAAAAAATAAAAGAACCTCATCTGAAGCGCATAACCTTTTATTGTGATACATATATTTTTGTGAGACATCATAAAAGATCACCTGACAAACACTGGTTTTATAGTGTGAAGCAGATGAATACAAAACAAGGGTTAATGGTACAAATGCAAGAGAACATGATGACAGGGCTTATGATGTCAACATGTAAAGCATTATGAAAGTATCATTTTTAAACGTATAGCCTCTTTTTTAATAGATAATCATCATTATGGAGGCAACAATTAGTGATATTTAGAACTTAGATAGGGATTTTTAACCTCAAAACACTTTATCAACATCAATCTTTATAATACTCTCTGAAGAGTGCTACAAAAGGAAAGATTTTTAGCTTTCGCATGCTATTCTTCCCTTCATCCCCAGAATTGGGAGGAAGGGGAATTCAGGTTCACACCCCTGAGATAGGTTAAGCAAACATAACATAATCATCAAAAATTCTGTGTTTTAAACTAGTATTTTCCAGAACATAGTTATCTCCCAGGAACTTACCTAGTCCAGTTACTTAAAGTAAGTCCTTAAGCATGAAGCAGCATTTGGCAACCAACTTGCTTATGTGATCACCCTCCTCTCTGTTTAGGTAAGGTGTTTACAACATTCTTTCCCTTGAAAAGATAGCAAAATTCTGAGCTGGGCTCATTAAAATGAGAGATGTTAGCATGATGGCTCCTTTTTCTATGGTATATGTATGTGAAGTGGAGAAATGACGTATTGAGGTGGGAGGAAATCCAAGCCTTTGGGAAAATGTGACTCTGAAGTGGGCCATTTGAGGCAAGCTTCCAGAACAATTCCCCATGTGTGAACACCAAAGTCTTTCGGAGGAACAGGTAACACAGAACATTAGGCAAAAGTTCTTAGTGAACCTTATAAAATACAGGCAGCTTGAAAATTGTATTTGCATCTGCAATGTTTGTACTTAAGAGGATTTACCAGTAACAGCAAAGGAGCTGAAAATCAACAACAAATGAAAAAAAGCTGTATGTGTGTCAGTTCAGAGCAACTACATCTGTAATCAGGCCTGCTGATGGGGAAGGGAAGACACAAGGGGCAAAAGGCCTGAGGATCCCAGCTGCCACTACTGTGTCAGTAGCCAGAGCCCTGGACCCTTTAAATTGCTACCAGAGCCCCAGGCGGCACACTCCTGGCAGCATGGAGGAAGCTAACCCAAGCCCTGCCCCTTCTGCCCAAGACCCTGCCCCTTCTGAGGGCATGGTGCTGGTCCCACCCTCCACCCTCCCCCCAACCTTGCCTAGGGTCCTGATGAGTCTCACAGCCCCACTGCCTATATTCACTTTCTGTGATCCAGCAAAGGTGTCCACTCTAGGTTTCCAGCTTACCTGGCCATTATCTCTCTTGAACTGACACCTGTCTTGCTGTCTCCTGACTGGTATTTTCAAGCTGCACGATCCCCATTACTGTACTCTGATATCTCCAGCAAAAGTAGGGGGGCCATCAAGGTACCTAAAGAATAGAGGACAGTTGTACTTAGTGCATGGGAGACCTAAGGCAGGAGGATATGGGAGTGGGGCATAAGCTTGAGTGGGGAGGGGGAAAGGCCACCATTTTGGGAGAGGGCTACAGCTGCTAATACTGGGTTGCTGCAGCACTTCTTCCTCTGACTCTCAGGGAGTAAGAGGAAAGTTCACAGATTGCTGCATTCCTCCTCTGCTCTCCCCCTCTGTTCTCCCCTCAGCAGCCAGGAGCAAAGAGGAAGGCACAAGCTGAGCATTTTCCCTTGCTCTCTAATAGTCAGAGGAAGAAAAGGCAACTGCATCCCAGACCTCCCAAAAGGGCAGGCTGGGGAGAGACTAGAGGATGGCACACCTCCAGCTAGCCCCTTTCATCTGCTTACCTATCTGCTGCTTAGCAAGGCAGCCTGCAGGAGAGCCCCAGGAACCCAGCCTGTCTGGAAGCAGCTGTAGCTGTGCGCTCAGAAGCCGGCTTCTTGTTGCTGGAGTGCTGAACCAGGGCACACTGGCTTACCTTCATTTCTGGTCTGGAGAGAAAATCAGAGGACACAAGGGTGTCAGTTTCATATCAAACAAAACATCACAAAGAAAATATATTCAAAACAATAAAAGAATCTACATTCATGCCTATAAGCTTAACAGAGATCACACCAAGCCCATCATGGAACAGTCCTTCAAAAACCCTATCCAGGGATTTTCACTGTAGTTTCAAGTTTGTCAGAGCTTAAGTTCAGAACAAGCACCCAGTCTAGGCCAAATCCTTCTAACTCCTCCATAGAGCAGGAATCTAGTTTGTTTGCCAAAGCAGGAAAAAGGTTCTGAACCTGTTTAAAACTAGGCTATTGATACAAAAATCCTTTCTTTTTCTGCTGAACTTTGGAGAAGCATCTTTGAACTAGTATATGTTCATCTCTCCAAAGGGTGGCAGCAAAGTGCTAATAACTGTCGGAATTTGAATAGGCTCACCACCACCTCCTAGTGAACTTATATACAATTCCATGATAACACACACACAACCGATATTTAATACAACAGACCATAAAGGTATTAAACCTAATTTAATGTTAAAGTTCAGTAAATTTATCTTACTTTCATAAAGTGTGCCCAAGTCATCATCAATCTGCCATAGTACAAGCAGGCAGAAAAAAGTGAACTGGAGTATTTTTGAAGTTTCAGGGGGTAGCTGAGTTAGTCTGTACAGGATAAACTTAAACAACAAATGGTCTGGTAACACTTCATAAACTAACAAAGCATGTAGATGGTATCATGAGCTTTTGTGGGCACAGCCCACTTCTTCAGATGACTGGAATGTACCCTTTCTATGCGATTGCTATCATTTGATCCTTAGCCATTTCTTTTTAGCTATCCAATCTTCAGGTGCTTATAGATTACCAGATCTGCTTCCTTGCTTTTCCCTTTGATATTTTCATACTCTCTGCTCCTTGTTTCCTGCTTCCATCCTTTTTTTCCCCTCCTCCCTCTCCCTATTTATTTTGGGTCTGCACATCTTAAACTCAAAACTCCTGTCATCTGAAGAAGTGGGCTGTGCCCACGAAAGCTCATGATACCATATACATGTTTTATTAGTCTATAAAGTGCTACCAGACCATTTGTTGTTTTTGAAGTTTATGGAGTATTTCTGGTTTTGCTCTCTGAACTACCCAAAAGCCCCAGCTAAACATTAAAAGAAAAGCCAAGAAAAAAAACCCTTAACCATTAAAAGAATTGTTTTTAAATGCATGCTAAATGCATGCTAAATAGTAAATGCATGCTAAACAGTACTCTATCTGAAATAATGCTTTAAGGAAATTGTTAATCTTAAAAAAAAGTAATTGGACAGCATCCCTTTAATTTATGTGATAATCTAGGTTCCAATTCCACAACATTTTAGTTTGCAGGATTGTGACCACAGGCTGAACCAAATGCTAATCTTCTGGCTTTTGAATAATCATTTCTCCCTTTTCAAATAATAAATCTTTAGACACCATGCATATTCTGAAACCAACAAATCAAAAAACAAAACCAGTACAAGACAGTCAATTATTATTGCCAGAAATATGACTAGGAATTAGGAAGGGAGAAAGGATGGCAAACAGAAAATCTAAAGCACTTGCACAAAAATTCATTCTGAAATGATTTTATGGAAACTAATCAGGGAGGATTGATTTAAATCAAGTTACCAAAATAACTAAGACAGACTATGCTTAGTGCACTTAATTTTGGCATAAGCCCCATTGAACTCACTGGCACCTCTGTTTTTTGAGAAAACAAGTACAGGATGGGGTTCCCTGGAAAAGCTAATTTATGCTGAAGTAAAATAGGGAATAGAATCATAGAGCTGGAAGAGACCTCAGGAGGTCATCAAGTCCAGCCCCCTGCCCAAGGCAGGACCAATCCCAACTAAATCAACCCAGCCAGGGCTTTGTCAAGCCAAGACTTAAAAACCTCTAGGGATGGAGATTCCACCACCTCCCTAGGTAACCCATTTGAGTGCTTCTAGTAAAATAGTTTTTCCTAATATCCAACCTAGACCTCTTCCACTGTAACTTGAGACTATTGCTCCTTGTTCTGCCATCCATCACTACTGTGAACAGCCTTTCTCCGTACTCTTTGGAACCTCACTTCAGGAAGTTGAAGGCTGCTATCAAATCCCCCCTCACTCTTCTCTTCTGCAGACTAAACAAACCCAAATCCCTCAGTCTCTCCTCATAGGTCATATGCTCCAGCCCCCTAATCATTTTGGTCACCCTCTGCTGGTCCCTCTCCAATGCCTCCACATCCTTTCTATAGTGGGGGGCCCAGCACCGAACACATGAATAGCACCTATGGCATCACCATTATGATCTGTGATCATGATGTTCTAAAATAAGGGGCATATATTCTGCACAATAAAATAAAAAAATTACATTCAGTGGCAACTTGGCAATTATAGATTTCTCTTACTGCAGCTTTCTTTACTGTGAACTTGAGTGATAAATTCTAAACTTAATTAAACAAGACATAAGGATTAGCTAAGCTGAACTTTTTTTCTAGCAAAATGCAACACAGCAAACAGCTTGGGAATTTACTTGTCAAATTACAGTTATACTAAAAGGGGGATAGGCAATAATTTGTTATGGGGGGGCCAGTCCACAATTTTGGAAAATTGTCAAGGGCCACACTCTTCCATTATATTAATGGAGGAGGTGGGGGGTCTGGTATGGGTGCAGAAAGGAGGGTAAGGAATTGGGGTGCAGGAGGGCCTTTGAGATCTGGGAGGGAGTTTGGGTGAAGGAGGCAGTTGTGATTTGGGGCACAGGATTGGGGTGCTGAAGTTTGGGTTGTGACCTAAGGCAGGAGGGAATTGTGACCTTGAGCAGGGACTGAGGTGCATCAGTTTAGATCAGTGGTCTCCAACCTTTTTACACCCAAGATCACTTTTTAAATCTCAGAACAGGCGAAGATCTACCGCCCCGCCCCTTCCTTGAAGCCCCACCCCTTCCTTGAAGCCCCACCCCTTCATTGAAGCCCCGCCCTCTCTATTCTCCTCCTGTCCATCACTTGCTATTCCCAGCCCTTACTTACACACTCTGATAAACAGTTTATTTTTAAATTATGTGATACATACAATTAAAATCACGTGTTTATAGTTATGAAATAAATGGTCTGTTTTTTATTCATGCTATTTAAATCTAAAATGAAGCATTTA